AGATGTAGCTCTGATACATTGGAAGCCATATTGATGAGTTGATAAGAGATTGGTGTTGGGCTGATGAGCGCTGGACTCAGGGGAACTTTGAAACACTTTGTATTCATATTTMTGATAATATAAGTTGTGAAACTCGGTCCTCTTCTTCTCTACCTTTGTCTATGGTTGATACTATTGATCACTGCATGTGAAGATGATGCATGACATGTACATATTTGCGTGAGATGGTCCCTAGGACCCATGCATAATTCTCTCTGTCTACTCCCTTTTTGTTGCTAATTTCGTTATGGACAATTCTCTCTGTCTGGGTATGATATTAAATTATTATTAATCCATAGATTCCATACAGAATTGGACGCTAAAGAAAAGGCTAGAGTCCAGTGAAGAGTGATATAGGTACTGAATTAAATTAACAAGAAATTAAATTAAATTAAATTAAATTATTAATTCCTAAATATATGGTAGCCTACTATTCATTCATTCCGCCCCGCCTTACATTCATTCCCCCCCCTTTCCATCTCTGTATCATCCTTCCGTCTCCTTCATATCTTCTTTCATACCTTGCGTGCGCCATTCAGCTGTCTCCGCACATACTGGGACAAAGTATACTGCAAGCACACACACACACACACACACACACACACACACACACACACACAAACCAAGAGCATCAAGAATGAATACACAAGATGTCCCATAGGTACCACGAGCACGGACCGACAGGTATATTGTCTGTCCGTGTCTGGGATTTATGGCCAATATATCTGCAAATCAGTACAAGTGGGGAGGCTGCAGAGGATCTCTCACTGCCCGTTTCGTTTTTTCCACTGCTCTTCTGCTGATCGGAAAAGAAAAAGAAAAAGAAAAAGAAAAAGAAAAAGAAAAAGAAAAGGAAAAAGAAAAAGAAGGAGAAGACAAGGAGGAGAAAAAAGAAGACGAAGAAGAAGAGGAAGAGGAAGAAGAAGAAGAAGGTGTGATTGACACTGATTGTACACAGAAGCAGCAGGAAAGACGAGAAGCAAACTACCGTCTTCATCCAAATAGAATACTCAGTCATTATCACTGCATCTAGACTCGAAGTTGCACAAAATCTACACTGACCAGGCATTCTATTCTGGCGAAGACTGTAGTTGTCGTGTTGGACCATAAGGCTTCAGCTCAGCTCCACAGGTGGCGGGGATTTCTTTCACTCTAGCACTACTGCATTCATCCCATCAAAATTTTGCCAGGGATTCAAACTCCTGATCTGTTTATTAACAGTTAAATGAACTTAAATGAAGTTAAATCTGTGTACCATTTTTCAACCAATTAGCCTGGGCATCCTGCTTTTCCTTTCTTTTTTTCCCTCCTCCCCTCTTTTTTAAAAGAATTATTTTAAAAAAAAACATGTGAGATTGTAAGGAAGAAGAAGCAGAAAAAAAAACAAAAAAGAAAAGCAGAAGAAGAAGAAGCAAAGGACATAAAGCAGCAAACTGGAATGGTAATGTTGGTTCAGCTCACCTGGGCTGCCTTGCGAGGGATTTCTTTTTTTTTTTTTTGTGTGAGGGTTCTCTCACAGGCTGTTTAGTCTCTCCTCCTCTTCTTTTCAAAAAAAAAAAAAAAAAAAAAGGACGAGAGAGAGAGAGAGAAAAAGAGATGTGTAATTGTAAGGCAGAAGAAGCAGAAAAGAGGAAACAGCAACAAACTCGAGTTGTCGAGTTGGTTCGGCTCACCTGGACAGGGGGAGAGGGTTCTCTCAAAAAGCCTGATTATCCCCTCCCCTCTTTAGTAACCCAAAAAGAAAAGAAAAAAAAGTTTGTGTGATTGTGAGGCAGAAGAACCAACAAAGGATAAACAGCAGCAGCAGCAGCAAAAAAAAAAAAAA